CGGAAACAGGCTCCAGGATCTGAGCCATCAGCCCAGAGCCTGACGCGGGGCTCGAACTCACGGACTGTGAGATCGTGACCTGGCTGAAGTCGGACGCTTAACCGACTGAGCCACCCAGGCGCCCCATATCTTGCCCTTTAGCATGTCAATAATGAAGCCTAGAGAATTCAAACCATAGTATTTATTCCACAGTAAGAAGAAAATTCCCTTTTCCAACCTTAAGGCTCAATTGCTTGGTTAGAATGAGGAGGAAGGAGTGGTTAAAGGAAATTTTATCTCTTTCCAGCCAAAACATTTTGAAGATAAAAGGAGGGGGAAAAAAAGTTTTAATGTGTATCCCAAGGGGGATAATATGTTAGCTAAGTGACAGTAATGCCCAAAGTATAATTTTGATTCTCAAAAGAAAGTGTCTCCATCTGTCCCTGTCACCAAATAGGTCTATTAGTATGGCCTTGCTAGGTGGTCAGGAAGATGTCTTGTGTTTTAGCTTTCCCAAAATGTTCTTAGTTCTTATGTGGTATGAACCCTGTGGTAGAAGCCAGTAGGCCTGTCAGGGCCAGAATGAAGGTTATGGCAAAGACTCGGAGACATATGGGCAGAGAGGACTGAGGGGTGACCTGGTCAGGAAGAGGCAAACAAATGGCTGATGCTCCACTGTAACACTAAGTGGAAAGAAGAGATCAAGAGTTCACCAGCCACTCTTCATGACTGGTTTACTAAGTGAACAGGTAAAGAAGGGTCTCACACTGGAAATCAGAAAAGAAAGAAGACATCTGGTAGAAAGACCTCAACTTTTCCTCTTAATATGGGGTCAAGTAAGCCATACTCTTCCTCCAATACACATAGATGCTATCTTAAGGAGATAAGCAAGTGGATAGGGGCTAAGGATTGTTATTCAAAAGAGGCTAGGTACAAACTAGAGAAACTGTTTAAATTATTGAATCAAACTAAGTTTAAAACAAACTGGTTACCTACTTCAAATTTTTTCCTTAAACCAATGAAGAAGACTAAATCAGCACGGATAAATAGCTACATGCCTCTGCATGCCCGCGTTCCAATGTGGTGAATTTACCACCATAAGAATTCTAAAAGTTAGAAGAATTATATGTTAACAATCAGCTATATATGTGTGTTACATACTGAATACATACACATGTTCTCTCTCACACACACATTCTCTCTCACACATATACACATACACCACAAAAATTTTCCCATCCTATTAAAGAGAAAATAAAGGCAATGGAAGCTATATCCTACAAGAAGGGGTAAGGCATTTTTAGATAATTTCTCAAATTAACTTAAAGTGTACCCAACTGAGGTACTGGGGGAAAAATATTTATTCTAAATGAGTCCCAGTTTGTTCATTTGACTTGACTTTCTGTTGAGAAGCAGACAAAATGCTTTCCTAACATGATTACAAAAAGACAACAAATACTTCTGGCTTCTACAAACAAAGGTAAGCAAGGCAAGGAAATGAACCAATCTGTTAGGAATTATCTATTATTTCCTAGACTGTCATCAATTCTAGGAGATATCTAGGAGACTTCTTTCACCTCAACACCAGCACACTCTGGCAAAAGAGATAAGCTTATATTTCATTAAGTACAGTAATGTCTTCATGTTTTTGCTAACTTAAAACATCATTTTCTTTCAATCACCTAATTTGCATAATTTTTCCAAGCTGAAATACTAATTTGGGATTCATAAAATCACATTTGGTTGTAAACATCCAATAAATTATAGTTAAGATCTTTCATGAAAGTCTTTTTTATACATCCATGAACCAAATGAAAATAAAATTTACTTAAGTACACAGGTTAACAAACACACCAAGGAGTCTCACAAACAGAAAAATATGGATTAAAAAAAAACCCTTTTTAACTTCATTCTCTATATAAGGTTGGATGTACTTCATTCAATATTCACAAAAATCACTATTAGCTTCTTTAGATATTGGTGTGAAAAGAGGATGACTCAGAAATCAGAGGTTTAATTAAAACTTATACTTCATTATTTCTCTAGCAATGTATAAAAACTAAATTTTGGAATGTATTTAAACTAGCACCCATTTGTTTTGACCTTCAAAAATTAGCTACTTTTAACACCTGGATTTTAAGACAATGAAAGAGAAAAAAAATCAAACACATAACAGCTCTTTTTGTGAAGTCTCCAAAAAACAAGAAAAATTTCCCAGTCAAATTACAACAAAAACACAAAACATTATACCTTTCTTGCCAGGCAGCTACCTATTACGTTTAACAGGCTTAAAAAAAAATGTGTCAAAGATCAAGAGTAAGTTATCTGATATGTCAAGTGCATAAGGTCAAAGGTACAATTTTATTAGGTCAGAGGTGGTATAAATAAAATCTTACATGTCAAGGAAGAAGGGTCACAGACAAGGTGTATATAACATAAAGACATCACAGATGACAAGTAATAACTTTAAGTAGAACAAGTATGTTTACTACAGATACCTCCACTGATTAAAAATGAAACTTCCATGTGAGTAAATATAAAACTGCCCTACTATATCACATAACTCATATCCTATATCGCATGTTTGTTTTCAGGAAGAAAGGGCTATAACCCAGAATAACTACATGAATTAAGTGAGAACTTAAGGAAAATTTAATTCAACTGAAATAGTATAAAAAAATGAACACATCAACCAAATCTCAAATCACAACAGCTAAACATCAGGCTATGCTATAAGAGCTACAAAAGTTAGACAATACTGCACATTTTTCTTTCAAATTGCATGAACTATTCTTTCCTTCTCAACTTTTCTCACTGAGGTAAAACACATAAAATTTAGATTTCAATTTATATAACAGCAACATTCCAAAAAATGTTTAAATAATCTGTTGTAAATTAAATAATACAGTTTTTTAATTAAGAGAATTACAAGTAATTTCTATAAATGGAAAATTTTCATTTGTAATGGAATAATTAAATTCTAATTAAAGAAAGCAATTTAAGATTTTTTCAAAGTGGCACACACATACACATGACTCTTGTTCTAAACAGCAAACTTAAAGAGTGAATGGGGTAAATTATATGAATGATTCAAGTAAAATAAAAAAAAAATCCTTACTATTCACTCTTAAAATACTCATACAATTTGAGTAAAAGACAAAAAATTATTTGAGGTAAACTAAATAGATGATTAATTACATGTTTTATTAGAGGTACCTAAAGCCATTCAGTAGAAGCTCTCAGTTCAACTCAGCTCAATGAGCTTTTATTAAATACCTTACCATGTGTCAAGCATTATGTCAAACAATGTGTATATAGGAATTAAATATTAGGAGACTTCCAATTCCAGCCACAGTGGACTGGCTTATACTGACTGGACTATCTCCCAACTCAAAACGTTGTACAAAGTATACCAAATATCAATTTGAAGGCATTACAGTACAGCCAACAGAGCCAGAACTTGAGAGACCGTTATCCTTAACAGAAAGGAAGCACATGAGGTAAGCTCCACATTCACTCTGGATTTTTCCTTGAAAGGCTTATACCAATTTTTGGCATGGAGACACTGCAAACTAAAAGTAGCAGCCTTACTGAGCTGAAGAGACAGAATTTGGTTTAGAGCTGCCAAAGCCACTGGAGCTTGAGGGGGGAATATCCTCAAAAGGAGGAAATCATAGAGAAGTAAGCCCAAATAACTATGTGCAATTTCCCATCAAGTGCTGGTCATACCCAGAAACTCAGGAGAAAACAGTAGCTTCAGTCCTCCTACCCAGGTAAGATTTATTGATTTATTAAGAACCAAACACAGACTTACCCCTGCTTCCTGACAGCATCCAATCCAGATCAAAGCTTCAAGTCCTCGAACTTTCCCCTCCCCAACCAAATCACCTAGCACAAGCCCAAATCCTATAAGCCCTTTCTAACACCTTATTTGAGAAGCTCCATAATTCCCCACAGTATACATTTTCCATTATTTAATAAATAAAGCCCTATTTTATTCAACTACAAATATATTCCTGATGGTCTTCACCTGGAGAGCATTGATAAAAAGCTAAGAAAAAGAATGAACTACAACTTCACATAAACATTTAAGATCAATCTCAGAGTTAGGGGTAGGTGAAAGTAGCCAGACACAGAAAGTACATACTGTATGATACCATTTAAAGAATGTTCCAGAACAGGGAAAACTAACTGATGGTATAGACTAGTTACCGCTTGGGGACATGTCTGGGTTGGAGCATGCGGGAGCCTTCTGGAGTATAATAAATGATCTATATCTTGATGTGAGTGAAACATATGTAAAAATTAATCAAGCTGTATACTTGAGATTTGTGTACTCTATTAATATACGTTACACTGGGGAACAGGAGTTAAACACACACATGTATGTATATACAGTTACTGCTCTCATTAGAACCATAATAACTTTTCCTGGGCACCTTAAGAGATACTTCACAAACATGAATGTCTCATCTTTGGGTAGCTCTAGAAATTTGCTATTATAAATAGAACCAACAAATTCGTAGGTTAGCAATGTCATCCATGTCTAGATAACAATTGAATGTAAAATATTTCTAAAAATATTCATACAAATCTAAATTCCACTGTAAGCAATTATAGGTAGATAAATAATGCATTTCCAAAAATTTCTAAATACTGTACTCATAAAATTATCAATTTACATGACATGTATATTGTTAATTATTTTCCAAGAAATGCAGGGCATCATTAAAGAATTCTTTTGTATATTATTAAAATATCAAAATACTATGACCTTTTTTTTACAGTAAAATTGTTCTTATTTCTGTTTCTTGTTAAACTGTATACTAAATTTTAGTATATGCACTGTCAAAGTGAGCACTAAATTGTATACTAAATGACATATTTGTATACTATATTTTAGTAGTTATTAAATGTTAAATATAATTTTAAATAATCACAACCGAACATGGAATTCTTTATAATATAGGACATACTGAGTTTTCAATAAATATGTGGAAATGAACAGAAGTAAAGCTTACCACTTCTTCATCTGAAAGTTCACGCCCTTGAATGCTGCTATTCTCTCTTACGGCTTGCTGGTGTTTTTTTCCTTTAATATGGCTAAAAAGATACACCTCTGAAGAGATCTAAAAGCATAAAATCAAAGCAATTGTAATCAACATATAATTATATCTAATTATATATTCATGCCAGTATATTATATGCATGTTGATATCACACTAGCCTTTACATACTAGGCTAAAAATATTTTCTTTAAAACACAACTCTGAGAATCCTCTAGAAGATACATAAGAAAAATCATGCCATTGTAACCAACCTTAACAGGATATCATTTCTTCTAAGTATCAGAGTTCAAATTTCAAGACTGAAAATGCCTTTTTCTTTTTTGATTCCAGTACCCAAAAATATTGCTTAGGCTATCAATTAAGCAGGTATATATCCATTTTAGCAGCAATTGCATTACTCTGGCACTTTGCACTGATACTCTTAAATGCCAATGCTATTTTTATACTACTTACTTAGCATAAAAATCATGAAAGAAATCCACGGTTTAAAATCATATACATTTTAAAAGACCGGGAGAATATATTTCCATAGTTTAACAAACTTTAGTAATAAATCATATCATCACAATATTAGTAATGACAACCTACCAGGACATTACAGAGGGAACACTGCTTCTTTCTTTCATAAGGAGTCAGTTTGGGGGCATAATCAGTATTTGCATGCCGTCCACTGCTTAACTCAGCAGCTTTTTCTTTTCTTTGTTCAATCTGTTCCATGTGCCTTCGAATGCTTTCATCATGCTGTGAATGAAGTCAAAGCGTGAGAATATAAAAATGATGCAAATTATATGGAGAACTTAAAAAAACAGTATTTCCATTAAAGTTTCTACAATAATAGAAGAAATGTCTTCATTCAATGTTGACATGAACACTAAGAATAAGAATTTACATAAAGCCCTTTAATATCTCCTACATGCACAGTAACGTCTCTTAGAGTGTGCTTTTTGGAACAACACCATGATATTGTAAGTGCTTTGTGGAAAAGGTTCTATCCGCAAATAAATTTGGAAAACACTACATTAAAGCAAAACAGGTTTTTAACACTGAACTATATGGAGCCTGTAGTATGTCTCTGTGCATTGTGACTCAATAAGCCTAGCTCATACTAAAAAACATTTTACACACTTAATTGACTACAACACACTTTTGAGAAGCACTTCTGGGAACACACTTTCGGAAATGTTGACCCCTACATAAAGACCAAGCATATCCTCATAGCAGACAAACCCCATCATGATGCAGACTTCTACCACACCAACTCCACACCACCATTTCTGGTTGCTCCACACCTCCAGTGACTTACCCCCAAAACAAAAAACATAACCAAGCTGAAAAAACACAATTCCAGAATTCTGACTTAACACTCATACTTTTTCTTATGATTGGAAATGTCATCCCACCCACCTACCTATTCTCCTACCCATTCAAGATTCAGCTCAGGAGTTATTCTCTAAAATTTTTTCCTGACTTCTGAAATGCTTCATATTAAACTCAGTGTCCTCATCCATACTTTCATAGCACTCCAAGTAATATGTCCATATGGAAATTATCTGTTTAGCAACTGATTCTCACACTACATTAAGAGTTTCTTGGAATTTAGAATCATGACTTACTCATCTCATTAACCCCACGTCTACTACAAGGCTCAACAGATTTTTGGTACATTAAGTTTTAGTGAATGATAAAGTCCTGTGATAAAATATGGCCCTCTACCTTATGGAATGTACTATCTCTGTGAGGAGACAATGTATAAGTAATTGTTACACAGTGTAAAATATACTGCTAGAAACTGTATTACTAACGGTAAAGATTTTCTAGAAAACAGCAGTTTATCACAATTTCCCAAATTACAATCGCACAATTCATAGGCACTGAAAATCAAGTGAAACTAATTATACTAATCATTTTTTATTTGTAAATAATTAAAAAGTATAAGTATCAGAAACCAAAGAGTAATGCCTTCAAGTCACTAACAAATTGGTTAGTAAAAACAGGAAAGTTAAAATTCCTTTAATTATTCTCATCATTTTATCATATTAAAATAAATTTTTCAGACAGTTGAATTAGAATGGACCAAAACCAAATCATGTAAATCTTATTAACCAAATATTAAGAATACAAATTAAAATGTTATACAATCCCTTAAATAAAAGATTTAATCTCATGTGCCATTGAAAGCTGTAAAATTTCAAATTGAAATATATACTATCCTTACCTTAAGCTGAATTTTTTTTTGAAGCTCTTCCATTGCTTCTTGTTGAGCAGCTGTGAGTGCAGCCAATCGCTCTTCCCTATCTCTGTAAGAAGATAGTAAAAAAATGATACACTCAACTGCTTGGAGAATCGAACTTCATGAGGTTAAAAATGATTAGGATACGTAGGCTTATATATTCTACAGGATTATTATTTTTTAAATTATTCTTTCTGAGTGCCTATGTCCCAAATACACTGCTCAATAAATGTTTAAAAAGCAACACAAGTTTTCAGTTATAAAAACAGGTTTCTGGAGGCATCTGGGTGGCTTAGTCAGTTAAGCATCTGACTTCAGCTCAGGTATTGATCTCATGGTTCATGAGCTCCAGCCCACATTGGGTTTTCTGCTGCCAGCATAGAGCCTGCTTCAAATCCCTTGTCTCCCTCTCTCTCTCTGCACCTCCCCTGACAGCACTCTCTCCCTGTCAAAAATAAATAAATGTTAAAAAGAAATTTAAAAATAATAGATTTCTGGACACAGACCCAGGTATGGATTTAAATACTAACTACCACTGGAACTCTCATTTAAATATGGCATGTTGAGAGGGAGGAGTTAAATTGGCAACAAGTAGGGAGATCCTAAGCTTGTCTTGTTCCTCCAAAACACCAAACAGACCTCACAATGATTTGATAAAAATCATTCTTAACACCCAAGAAATCAACCAGAGGTCTAAGAAAACAAAAACTGCAAGTCTACAAGTAGAAAAGCAACCACCTTTTGGAAGGCAGGAGGTGCAGAGAGTGGTCTTGGGGGAAACATAGCTTGTGGGTATAGCAGTGGGGAGGGAGCCTACTTACGGAGGCTATCGCAAAGTATTATAAGCAGTGGAGTGCAAAATCTGAACTTGTAGAAGTCTGCTACAGTGGAGGAATTGCCTGGCTTAAAGGTGCCCAAGTAGCAAAGCAGGGAGGAATCCCAGGAGTGACAGCCAGCGTGGTCTGAGGACCCCCTCGGTCACAAAAAGGACAGGTGGGGCAAAGGTGCTGCACTACATCCAGGCACAGGAGCAGAATAAAGGCTGAGGGCAGCAAGCAGAGTTGTTGGTGTTCTGCTACATTTTGACATAAACCCTGAACTGCTACAGTCCTGCCACTGTTTTCCTCCCACAGGCCAGCAAAAGCATTCCAAGGCCCTCCCCCAGAAAAAAAGCAATGGTCCATGCCTACAGAGTCCCTAAAATTTGGAGGAGTTCTGAAACTCAGTCATGGGCCTGAGATAAAGAAGCTAGGACACAGGTGGAGTGAATGCAGGGTTCTGACTGAAACAGGGGTGACAAGAGGGGTGACTGATTGTTCTTCTGTGAGGGTTCCCTGAAGAGTAGGAGGCATTATCTTTCAGCTCTGGGGCTAGAGAGGGGAGCACAGCCATATTCAACTCACCCATCAGCATGGAGAGCCCTCAGGGAGCAAAACTATATCAACTAGCAGAGGCCAGAGCTGTTTACACCAAGCCCCAACCCCCCCCCCCATGCCCTGAAGGCACATTTCCACTGCAACAAGTCAGCCTGAGCATCAGCACAGCAGGCCTCTTCCCAGAAAAACAGCATAAGCAACTTGCTTGCACCAAGTCTATGGATCAAAAAGTATACAAAGCTTCAGATCTAGGGGAAAAAAGATCTAGCTTACTGTTTACTTTTACTACCCTTTGATCCAGCAATGGCACTATTAGGTATTTACCCAAAGGATACAAAAATACAGATTCAAAGGGGTATATGCACCCCAATGTTTATAGCACCATTCTTAACAATAGCATATTATGGAGAGCCCAAATGTCCATCAAATGATGAATGGATAAAGTAGATGTGACACACACACACACACACACTTGAATATTAGCCAGCAAAAAGAATGAAATCTTGCCATTTACAATGACATTGATGGAACTAGAAGGTATTATGCTAAGAGAGATAAATCAAACAGAGAAAGATAATTACCATATGATTTCACTCACATGGAATTTAAACAACAAAACAGATGAACATAGGGGAAGGAAGGGTAGGGGAAGAAGATGAGAGAGGGAAACAAACCACAAGAAACTCTCAATGACAGAGAACAAACTGAGGGTTGTTGGAGGGAGGTGGGTGGGAGATGAGCTTGATGGGTGATTCGTATTAAGGAGGGCACTTGTGCTGAGTACTGGGTGTTGCATATAAATGATGAATCACTGAATTTTACTCCTGAAACCAATATTGCATTGTATGTTAACTAAAATTTAAAATAAATAAAATATACACACGGCATGTTGAAAACATATTTATTTCTGTTCCCTTCCAAAAAACCACAAGAAATGAATAGAATAGGCATAAACTCACAAAGACAAAAATAACAGGAAAAGAAACAATCATAAATTATGAGACATACAAAGAAGCATGACCAGGCTTTGAAAAAATCAGTCAACTAGGGGCGCCTGGGTGGTTCAGTCAGTTAAGCATCAGACTTCAGCTCAGGTCACAATCTCACAGTTTGTGAGTTCAAGCCCCGCATTGGGCTCCACATTGACAGTGTGGAGCCTGCTTGGGATGCTCTCTCTCTCTCCCTCCCTCTCTCTGTCCCTCCCCCACGTATGCTTTCTCTCGTACTCTCTGAAAAATAAACATAAAAAAAAAAAAGAAAAGAAAAAGCAGTCAATTGAAACTGTCCCTGAATGAGGCCATATGCTGTATTTAGTAGACAAAGACTACAAAACAGCTGTTACAAATATGTTCAAAGAAGTAAAAGAAAGTATGCCAAACTAAAGAAAAATATTATGGCAATGATTCAACAAATAGGGAATCTCAACAGAAAAATAGAAAGTTTTTTTAAAAACCTTTCCAATAAAAGGAACCAAGAATCCTTAAACAAATGGATGATTCCATATGAAATAGCTCCCAATGTCCAAAGCTGGAACAATTTGAGTAACAATATAAATAATACTGGTTTACAGCACAATGTATAAAATAAATATATATAAGTCCACACTGACATTAAAAAAAAAACACTTAAATGAATAAATAGGAGAGAATAGACAACTGTCCTGTACAGAAAAATTATAAACAATTAACGTAGGAATTCTTCCCTCAAGGAGGTAAAGAATAATTCCCCACCTTTTCAGCATGGCCTATGCTTAGTGGCTTGCTTCCACTGGGGACAGCATAGAGAAATTTTTACAGTAACAATGGAGAAACCTGACAAACACTAGCTTACCCAAGTGATCAAGGTTAATAAAATCAGTGATAAGTCCAATTGATAGCATGAACCTCTGACATGTTACAAGTGGTAATTCACAGTCACATCTGTGCTCTTCTTCCCCAAAAGCTATAACATCAATTTCACCATAAGAAGAGCATCAGACAAGTCCTACCTGAGGAACACTCTACAATATACCTGACCACTACCTAAAACTGTCAAGGTCATCAAAACCATGCAAAGTTTAAGAAACTGTGACAACTCAGAAGAGAAATGACAAATATCTGAACAAATAATGGCCAAACACTTCCCAAACTTGATATGTACAGAACAGAATAACCATGAAGACAATAAACCTAGACAAATCAGAATGAAACTGGTTACACACAGGCAGAAAATTCTGAGAGCAGGAAGAAAAAAACAACTCACCATATACAGAGGAAAAACCAATGATTAATGGCTAACTTTTCATCAGAAAAAAACAGAAGTCAAAAAATTCAAACTACTGAAAACAAAAGAGAAAAAAAACAAGAACTCTAAATAAATCTGCCAAAAATATCATTCAGAATGAAGGAAAACACCAATGATACTTCAACAAAAATTTTTAAAAACAGAAACAAAATGAAGGCAAAATATTCCTAGATAAGTGAATACCAAGATAATTCAATGACAGCAAAACTCCCTTCGTAGAAAATACTGAAGAAAGGCCATCTAGCTAAAGAGAAATTATGCTAAAAAGTAACCTGAATCCATAAACAAAGAAAATGAAGTACACCAGAAATGGTAAATATGTTAATTAGTATAAAGGAACTTATAAATGTATTTTCTCTTTTACTCTAATTTCTTTGAAAAATGTGACACTACATAAAGAGATAATTCTATCACTGGATGGTTGAGTTTACCACATATATAGATATATGTGACAATGACAACACTAGAGGAAAAGGATATAGACCTATAGTGGAACAAAGTTACTCTATCTTACCAAAATTAAGTTTGTTTTAATCAAAAGTAGATTTTAATAATCTACTTCTTTACTTTGTATTGTAGTAAAGAGAGCAACCACTAAGCAAACAACTAAAATAATAGTTTTAAAAATCAAGAGAAAAATTTAAATAACACACTAAAAAAGTATTAAGAAAAAAAGCAGTAGTAAGAGAATAAAAAAAACTTGAGACGTATAGAAAACAAGGATCAAAATAGAAAATATAAATGTAATTATATCAATAATTATATTCAATGAGAATGGACAAAACACTTTCATGAAAAAGCAGAAACTAGCAGACTAGATCAAAAAGTAACTTCAACTTTATTTAGACCATAAGAGACACAGGTTAGATAAAAAAGGCACAAAAGTATGAATGTAGAAGGACAGAAAAAGACATTTCATGTAAACTATAGCCATGGCTATATTTAAAAAAGAAAAAAATTGACTTTATAGCAAGAAATATTTTTGTTTTAATGTGAAAGAGGAACATTTCATAATGATGGAAGAGTCAATACCCAAGGAAGATATTATATGCCCCTAACATTGAGACACCAAAATACACAAAGCAAAAATTGTCAAAACTGAGAATATAAATAGACAATTCAACAGTATTTCAAAAGCATATGGAAGTCAATGAAAGTGATAACACCACAACCCAAAACTTCTGGGATGCAGCAAAGGCAGTTATAAGAGGAAAGTATACAGCAATCTAGGCTTTCCTAAAGAAGGAAGAAAGGTCTCAGATACAGAACCTAACCTTACACCTTAAAGAGCTGGAAAAAGAATAGCAAATAAAACTCAAAACCGGCAGAAGACAGGAAACAATAAAGATTAGAGCAGAAATTAATGCTATCAAAACCCAAAAAACAGAACACATCAATGAAACCAGAA